TGCAGACCTGTCCCCTAGCGGAAAGTACTACATGGCGGACCTCTACGAAGTCGGAGGCATCCCGTCGGTCCAGAAGTTGTTGATCGCAGCTGGTCTGCTTGATGGCGATATTCCCACTGTGACCGGCAAGACTCTGGCCCAGAACGTAGCATCATACCCATCGTTGTCTGCTGACCAGGTCATCATCCGCCCCCTGGACAACCCTATCAAGGCAACGGGCCACCTTCAGATCCTGCGAGGTAACCTTGCACCCGGTGGTGCGGTTGCTAAGATTACCGGCAAGGAAGGGCTCCGGTTCACGGGTAAGGCGCGCGTGTTTGACAAGGAGCATCAGCTCAATGAGGCCCTGAACCAGGGCAAGATCCCTCATGGCGAGAACCTGGTCATCGTTGTTCGTTACGAGGGCCCTAAGGGTGGCCCGGGAATGCCGGAACAGCTCAAGGCCAGTGCAGCGCTCATGGGAGCCAAGCTCACCAACGTGGCACTGATTACGGACGGTCGATACTCTGGCGCTAGTCACGGATTTATTGTGGGGCATATTGTCCCTGAAGCTGCCGTAGGAGGGCCCATTGCCGTTGTTCGGGACGGCGATGTGATCACAATTGATGCCGAATCAAACGCCATCACCATGGATGTATCGGATGAGGAGGTGCAGCAGCGTCTGCGGGAGTGGAAGCCCCCAGCACCGCATGTCACACGAGGTGTGCTGGCCAAATATGCTCGGTTGGTGGGAGATGCCTCGAACGGAGCCATGACGGATCTATTTTAGGTGGAGTGGTATGGATTTGGCTCCGTTCCCAGTTTCTCAATAAAATTATTTGTTTATCCCAAGATGTATCCATACTATAACCCAACTTGGCTGTGGAGACTGTTCCAATGACGCAGCTGTCCTGTCATGGTAGTACTTTGGAATAGTTTGATACTATGTACACATCAGGAATCAAAGCAATGAATGACAAAAAAGGAAGTTATGCCTAGCTGGCTCTCTACAATTCGAAGAATATCATATTACTCTATACAATCTTCCTCTTAAAGTTATAGAAGATGGTCTCGTGTTTGGAGCGGCGAGAACTCCGGCATCCGAAAGACCCAAAAGGGACTAGCGCAGGATGAGTCATCCAGGAAGCTGCAGCGTGACGCCATGAGTGGATGTGAATCACCGCCGGCAAATTTGCGACAAACCAAAGTATCGCAGATCCTCCACGGTCTTGCCTCCGACCCTCTGACAGGCCTGTTGTTTGTCGCCGCTCCCTGTCGTTATCCGCCACAATTTCTGCTTCTCTTCCGGATTCCGCTCCGCGATCCAGCCCGCCTGCAGTTACTCCAGTTAAGGTTTGCGTTCCTCAGTCGCAAAGAGTGGTTGCGATTTTCTATTGCTGGTGCTGCACAGCTAGGTATGAGTGTGCCCACCGCTGCCAAACCCCGCCCATCATTCAATCTGAAAGTTGACGCTGTACTCTCATGAGTTCCCTGTACGACTAGATTTTGGGTGGCTTGGGGATCATAGCTGACTTGCTTCACAGTTCTTTTGCGACGTCAGGCGCATCATCCTCCGCATCACTCTCCCGCCGACTGGAATCTCCGCGCAAAACGCTCCATGTGACCCGGAGTGTACTTGGGTCAACCAACAATTGAGATATCGTCGTCATTCGGTTGGGAACAGTCCTCAAAACAAATTGGGCCGTCGTCCTCCTTACTTTGGTTCAGATAAAGACTTGGTGGATCTGTCAAATTGTCCGGAACGCCTAGGCGCAGCCAGCAGACCAACGTGACGGATACCCAGCATTCATTGGTCCAAACCATCCCGGGGCGCAGTTAAAGTCGTACCTAAGAACAAGCTCTCCTTACCTCAAAATAGTCTACTCCAAACTCGTTGCCTCATAGCGCGCTATCGTTGGGCTTCCCGGCTGCTGAGTGTTTCGATCGACCCGCTCCGTTGCCTCACTATCGATCCTGGAGACTCTCCTGACCCGCCAAAGAGGTGCCGTTCTCTCGGCTCGTGTGAACTTCGACTCGCATTCCAGAACGGATCCTCTTCGCTCCCGATCGTTGGTCCCTAAACGGAGGGATCCCTGACACTAGGTGTTAAGGCGTGGGCGATCGGTGAGCGGTAATAAGGTTCCTGTTTAGGGGCGACGCAGCTTCGCGCCTGGACCAGTCGGTAGTCTTATAAGTATCCCCAACATTGTCTTCGTCGCCGCCGGGGATGGGGTCGACAGATGTCCCTTTAACCTCCCCTACCACCTCTCGGTCCGGTCTTGTGGATTTGGGTGCTTCTCTACGTTTTTGGGACTCGACTTACACTGCCTTCACCAATTCTGGTGCTTTTGCTTCACTCGCCCGTCTTTGTCAGGCATATAGCTACGATGGCACGGTGAATTGGGGAAAGGTCGTTTTCCTGACTACTTGTTTCATCACTATGCTGGGTTGCGGAATCATTTCTTCCGTCCTGCGGCGCAAGGCCTGGGGACAAGTCTCAGGAAAGGCACGTTTTCGTCGAACGCGCAAAGGCTTATCCAAGCGCTCTGAAGGAATGGTCACTTCTTCAGATGAGGAAGACTACGATAGCACGGGATCTCTACGCCATGGCACTGAAGGCACTGTTGCGGAGAAGACGGAAGTGCCTCAACAAAAGCAGAGCGAGAATGGTTGGTACTCTCTCAGTGTTTCAATGTTGGATACTGACATAGACAAGCCCATGATACAGACCCAGGCCTCCTGAAGAAGCACTCATCATACCTGTCATACACAACATCTACGGCGACATATCCTTCTATCAGAACGTTCTTCCGTCCGCATCCTCAAAAGGACAAATTGCCCACTAAGCCCTCGCCGATTCCGTTGTTGGTCTTTGTGCATGGCTTGGGTGGATCTCTTGCGCAATTTAATCATCTGCTTACGAGTCTTTCCAATGTCGGGCCTTGCTTTGGGATCGATCTCCCTGGGTGCGGCTTGTCGTCCTTTTCGCCCACTTCTTGGGACGCGTATACTGTGGAAGCGCTGGCAGAGTTGCTTGCTACAGCCATTGAGCAGCACCGGGACAAGGATGCAGGCCAAGAAGTGGTTCTGATCTCTCATAGTCTGGGCTGTTCCCTGTCTGCTCTATTAGCATCCTCCACGTCTTCGATAGGCGCTGGTTTGAAAGAACATATTCTCGGTCTCATTGCCGTCTGCCCTCGCGCTGCACCTCCACCCCCACATGATGTTGCCAAATTTCGCCGGCTTCTGCATGTACCCAGCCCAATCTTCGACCTCTGGCGCTACTGGGATCGGCGGGGCGGTTTACACAGCACCAGCGTGAATAGGCTTGTCGGCGCAGCAGCAGATCCCGATACCAGAGGCCTCCAAGTCCGCTATAATAAGCAGAGCAAAACGGCCGTGTGGAGACGGATGGCATGGGGAACTCTGCCGTCGTACGACAGTAATGGCAAGGCCGTCGGAGGCATCCCAGGCGAGGATGTATGGGCAGGTGTGCGCACGCCCGTTCTTCTAGTGGCTGGTGAAGCGGATGCGGTGAACAAACCTGCAGAGCTAAAGAAGATCCTGGGGTTCTTTGCCCGAGCAGGGTGCAGCGTGGATGACGACGCGGATGGGGTGAGCTCCATTCCCGATGCATCCGCAGTTCACGATAAGATGCCTGCATCGTATGATCGGCGGGCACACGAAGAGGAATTCGGGGTGGAGCCACATATTGAAGAGAAGGAGATCACGAGTGAGTCTGATCAGCCGGGATCTCGGCGGTCGGTCAAGACTGTTATTTTACCTGCTCCGGCGTCTCATGCATTGATCTACGACCGTGCAACGTACCGCACTCTTGCCGGGATCATCCAAGACTTTCTCAGCCAGCACATCGATAACCGCCTCAGCATGGGCTGGCAGCTGCAATATCTTAATACGTCGGGAAAGTGGGACGTGAAGAACCTGGCGAAGTGGAAGAAGGTTGCTCCAGTGTCAGAAAGAATTGCTGACACCTTTGCGGCGCTCAAGATGCTCCGGGAGGTGGACGAAGAACACAACCCTGTTCTGTTCTCTCAAGCTTACCGCGACAAGATCTACGCTGTGATTGATATCAGCTACGAGAATCCGGTATACAATCCCGCGTCGATGGAGAAAGGTGGCATCCACTACCACAAGCACCCCACGGTGTCAAAGATCCCACCTACTCCAGACGAGGTTCGCGATTTCATCGCACTAGTAGACCGACTACAGAATGAAATTACTGAGAAGATGGAGAAGTCCGGCAATTCCAAGGGTCCACGTCCGGTCGTTGGAGTCCACTGTCATTACGGATTCAACCGCACGGGATTCTTGATTGTCTCATACTTGATCGAACGGCGCGGGTTCAGTGTGCCGGAAGCGATTGAGGAGTTCGAACGGCGACGTCCACCAGGCATCCGTCACGAACACTTTATTGATACCCTATTTGTGCGATACTGCGTTGGGCTGAAGCGGGCGCCAACGCTGTAGGAAGAATGAGTTAGGTTTGGCAGGAAGGCAGGCGTTGGCTGGGATTTTTCGGGTTACATCTTTTTTCCCTTCTCGTAATGGAGGATAATGGGTTTTCGCTTTATGAATCACGATAATTATACCATAGACTGTACAGTAGGGATGGAGTTGAAATAGAGAAATACGTATGCTGAACATGCTTCCTACCTAGTAGTAATCGCTCACTAATCACGGATCTACATGATACAAAAGTAAGGCATCAATAGTTCCCTGCCTGAACGCACGACCCCAGTCACATGACCTATCAAAAACTCACCGCCCAGCACCATCTGCCCCAGGCACCAACTTAGGGTACGGCTAACCCAAACAGGCTAAGCGAAGCGCCCACAGCCAACCGAGAAGCACTACTCGCGCAAAGTTGTGTGCGAATCCGAAATTTCGAGGCTTTCTGACCCCGACTCCCCTTCAACGACGACAACGACCGACCCATCCCCCTCCACGCCTCCCTCGTCCCTCTCTTCGATTCCCCGTTCGAGGTTCAACAAGTCGCAAAAATGGGTGGTGTCACCGTTCGCGATGTCGACGTAAGTCATGTCATATCAAGATTCGAGATTGGTTGGTCGGTGCGGAATGGGATGGATGGCATGGTATGGCATGGCACAATATGGCACGGCACGATCAGGACAAACCGACAAAAATGAAATTTTATCTGGTATCAGCATTCGACGGAGCAAGCGACAATCATATATCTATCTGGGATCGAATTTGGGCGCGTCAAGCAAGGCTGGGTACATATATACTCTGGGCATCAGATGTGATGAGTTTTGGCTATGGATTGGGGAATATGCAATGCTTGCACGACTACGCGATTGTATACTCCAGCCATGTATATTGAATTTGGAGATTCTGGATCAAATGGATGTTATGGGGTCAGGAACGAACTGGAACCACTGCCGCCGCGACATGCAGGATATGTCCAGATTTGCCGATACGTGCCGTGCCATGTTATATGCCATGCCATGTCGTGCCTGAATGCGCACCTGCCAGACAATCTACGATACAGGATGTTTTATGGACGGAACGGCTAACAGGATTCTTTTCTATGGTTATAGGCGCAGAAGTTCATCGCTGCTTACTCTGCTTTCCTGAAGCGTCAGGGAAAGCTCCCCATTCCTGGTTCGTGCACACGGGATCCTTTCGAACAATCGCAACCATCAGATCAAAGAACTAATACGGTTTAAATAGGTTGGGTTGACACTGTCAAGACCTCCGCCTCCAACGAGCTCCCTCCCCAGGACGCCGACTGGTACGACAACTGCCATTGATTCAAACATGTCGAAGAAGAAAAAGAACCAGCGTGATTAACGAATACTTGCAAATAGGTACTACATCCGCGCTGCCGCCGTCGCTCGCCACATCTACATGCGCAAGACCGTCGGTGTTGGCCGTCTCCGCAAGGTCCACGGTTCCACCAAGAACCGCGGCTCCCGCCCCGCCCACCACGTCGATGCCTCCGGCTCCGTCGACCGTAAGGTCATGCAGTCCCTCGAGAAGATCGGTGTCCTCGAGCACGATGAGGAGAAGGGTGGCCGTCGCATCACCCAGAGCGGCCAGCGTGATCTTGACCGTATCGCCAAGACCACCGTTGACGAGGAGGAGGACGAGGAGTAAATTAGTCTCTCCGGATGCTCGAGCTAAAATAATGAAAAAGTCCTGATGTTACTCTTTTTCTCCGAACCCCTTACCTTCTATCTCTCTACCTACACCTGGCAAACTCCCTATTGAAGCTGAGCTAGGCTTAGCTTCTTTGCTGTGTTTCTTAAAAACTCCCCGTTTGTCTTTTGACACCAAATCCCGCGCGGTTTGGATGGGGCCACCCAGGGGGGGTGCGTTGGGTTAGATGGGGAAATGGAATATTGAGACGAATGAGTGGCTACGACAGGGAGAGGATGACTTGACTACTACTACCTTTTCTCTTTTTTTTATCGATCAATTGGTTGTTCCTGCGGGCATAAAGGACAATTCATACATGGTGTAGAAATTCCGCCTAGATCTCCTCTCCCGATAGATGTATAGAGCCCGTCTAGAAACCAGCCTCCAAGGACACAGGTATTCAAGCCTATATGCAAGCCCATCAACGACCTTAAAAACAATGTAATGCATACAATCATATACAAGTAACAACTATATACACCATGCAGTCAGTGCCCACCCACCTACATCTACCCAACACATGATACCCTCCCCTTCTAAACCCCACAACCTACTCCTCAATCCCAACTTAAGTACCTATTTCTTCCCACCCTGCGCCGTCGGATCCTAAACCCAACACCAATCAATTAGCCAACATCCCCGAACCACCACCACCACCAAGAAAGAAAAAGAATGGGGAGGTATGTACGTACCAAATAAACCTGATAAAACCGCATTTTCTCGACCTTCTCATCAAACACGACCCTCCCAGCCCAAGGCACCTCAATCTCCTCATCAGGCTTTCCAGCCTCCACATCCTTCCTCAGCACATACTTCACCGTCCCATACAGCATGAGTTCTCGCTCCGCGCCGAAATATACCCGTTCGGGGGTGTGTTTGCGGCGTGCGACGTGGGTCCAAAGGCCGTGGCGGAGGGTGAGGATTTCTGTATTATTCCATATCATGGGTTGTTAGTGTTTGTTCATGTAGTCGGAGGTGTGGTTCGGATTAATTGAGAGTAGGTGTAATTAATTGCATGAAGAAAAGGGTACTAAAGAGGAAAGAGAATTGGGTGGGGGAGGGGGAGCATACCATCCAACCCCTTCGCAACCTTCGAGCCCATAATGAGCGTCGCATCTTCGGTGAAGTTCGTCACGTATTCGTTGTGCAGGGATTCGGTGTCGCTGATGCGGTAGAAGTTCTCCAGGAAGGAGATCATGGCGGCGCTGGTGGGGGGGAGGAGGGTGGATGGGGGGGTGGTGATTGTGTAGCTCATTTTGAATTGATTCTCTTTTGGATAGTGTTTCTTTTGCTGTGGTTTGGGTGGTGATGTGTTGTGAATCGGATGTGTATGGGTGGTTGTGAGGGGTGGAAAACGGTATACTTTTATTTAATGGATGCTGCATAGATCGGTGATGTAAGTAGTAGTAACTTAGTGAGGGGAGAACAAGATCTGTCGGGCCGATGGAGGGACTTCCGATGGATGGATGGATGGATGGCGGCGATGGTTATCGGATCCGATCGGTATGGTGATTGTTTCCTGTTCTATCCGTCTTGGCTGAGGGGAGGATTGGTTTTCTTGCGTAAGAATTGGGAGGTATTTGGCTAGTCTTTCTTTATTTCAACATAATTTAGTTTACTGTGCATGCTTTGTGGTCATGTTCATTACTGGTAATATTTGTCATAAATGGTCCTATGTATGTAGGTTTACGCCTTCCGGTTATCAACATCCTTCTCAAAGTCCTCCCAGCTCGCTGCATCAGTACCATTGGGGCGACTGGACCGGACAAACGAGTTATCGACGCCCTCGATCTCTGCAATCGGGCGAACGATCTCAATGTCCGCATTGTACGCCTTCGAGAACCATTTCTCCGTAAGGGCCTCTGCGCCCGCCTCCTCAGGAGCACGGTAGAGGTGAGGGAAACGTGCCTGCATAATCTTAAGAACGGTCGATGAGATGCGATCAACGCTGTCACAATGACGAAGCTTGAAGAACTCTGCTGGCTGAGCGGCGCGCATCTTCTCCTGGATGGCTTCCGAGTACTGGCCCACGGCAAAGAGAAGCAGGTCATAGTGCATGAGAGACGCCTTGCCGTGGTACGAACCGCCGTATTTGGCGCGGTTGTAGAGACCAGTCAGGGCGGCGATGGCACCCATGCAGCCGGTGCCATAGTCGGAGATGGGGAAGGGGGGGACGACAGGGGTGGAGAGGCCCATGAATTGACCTTGAGCCCAGGCGATGCCGGTGACCTGTTGCATGTTAGTCATTTATGATGGTGTTTAATTGGAGGCAGCACTTACGCAGTCGGCAATCTGCTGCCAGCCAGGACGGCCGGCCCACTCTCCTTCATAGCCAAAACAATTCTCATTGACGTACACAACACCCTTGCCGCGCTTCTCAGCCAAAGCAGCAAGAGCATTGGGGCCGTAGCCCAGCTTCTCAAGAGCACCAGGGCGGTACCCGTCCACAACAACGTCGGCATCGGCCACGAGCTCCTCGAACTGGCGGCGACCTGCTTCGCTCTTGAGATCCAGGTCGGCAGCGTGCTTACCCATATTGCCGTCAACTTGGAAGAAAGGGACATCGGAGAGGTTGGGGCTGGTGATTTTGAGAACGTCCGCGCCGTACTCGGCCAGGATGCGTGCAACGGTAGGGCCGGCAATGATGCGGCAGAGCTCTAGAACCTTGACACCTTCGAGAACTCTCTTGCTGCCGTTGCGACTGGCTGGGAAGGGGGTCGGCGGCAAGTCTCCATTCAGACGGCTGACTTTCCACGGAGGTTGTTGGACGTTGAGTGCTCCCTTGTAGCTTGTCAGCGTTGCTTGGTGGGTATATGGCAGGGATCATACATGTGGGGTCTTCTTGAAGTCGTCATATTTGAATGCCGTCACACCCGCCTGTCGTCTTTCTCTGTTCATCTCCTCCAACTCCGCGGCGCTGTACTTCTGCACGTGGCTCTCAATGACCTTGATGATTTCCTCGTAGTCTGTCAGGTCGGGACGCTGCCCTTCCAGGCCAATCATGTTGAGCGTTGTGGTAGCCTCCAACGAGCCGTGGATGTGGAAATATTCGTCGTCGTTCTTAGTCTTGTAGAGGTTCGCCGACATCCGGCGGTAGCCATTGGATTGGGCTGCAAGCAAGTCGGTATCTACGTCTGTTAGCTTGAGTCGGATGTGCTTGGAATGGGCAGCTTACCCTTGAGCTTCTTCTTCACCTCGGGGTCCAACTTGGACAGCCCGTCAACCTTAGCCATATAAGCCTGGCAGCCGAACGCAGTCGCCCGTTCAAGACTTATGTTGACATTGCGCTTGTGTTCAGAAGGTCCATAGCGGAGGTCTGCAATAGCACCGGCTACGGAACCCTCAACACCCTTAAGGGCAGCAAGCGTCTCGGTTTCCTTAAATGGAATTGGAAAGTAAACTTCGTCATGTGTTGAGGAGAAAGAAACGGCATCCTTGCCCTCAGTCACTTCTTTAGGTAAATTGAGCTGTTCAGCTTGATCACAGAGATAAGAAAAGATGCGCCCAGCTTCGCGAACTGGTGAATAGTCCACCGCGGAAGATCCCGCCATGATGTCAGTCAGTACTAGGTGGAGCTTTGGGGGTAGATGTGTGTGCAACAATGATTCTTCCTCAACTGCAAAAGCAAATTGTTAGCGCGGGATCCCACACGGCTGTCAGTTGCAAAGAATAGTTGAGGTGAAACCTTGCCTTTTAAGAGGCAAGATTTTCGGCACGGCTGGGGCCTACTCTGATGGTAGTGAATATTGCGCCGGGAATATTCCGATGTTTGGTCCGTCGGGTGAAGGTGCAGTGGTGAACGCACGGCTGTGAGTAACTGCACAGTTGTGAACGCGCAGCTGTGGACCAATCGGTAGGTGAATGGGCGCAGGAAACCATTATGCTTGCTGGAGAGGCGAATTATGGGCCAGGATAAGGGCAGAGGGACGAACCCCGCAGAGGGGATTCCGAAAGGTGGACCGGCTTTGCGATGTGCACTTTTCGGATGCGCCGCCGATAAGATCGGAAGCGGAACCCTCCGGCTCTGACTCGGCTGAGATAAGCGTCGATCTCATTGATCTCTATGGTCTGTTATATATTATGTATTGAAATTCGAGCGATTGACAAGCTAGCGTGCCTCATATTACAGTTCTATTACTGTAGACACTAATATGATGAATAGACAAGATATTGCATGTATATAGACCGGGCATCGTACTTCGGAGACGAACCCTTCCAAGTCAACACTCAACCGACATTCCTATACAAAGGGAAAGAAGAGACTCAATGGTTTATCTATTTGGCTTGACATGGTAGACAGGTAGCCATTGTGACATATTCTAATAATATTGCTTGTTTTACACCAACGAGGCCTTTTAGTCGAATCTTATCAGTCAGTATAGTACCATGTTGGAAAGGTTACGCATGTAATCGAGTAGTGGTATATTGGCAGGCTCACTACAACTAATGTTGTACCAGGTGCGCAGCTGACCGGGACAGACATGTCTATACAATTCAGGATTAAGCAGTATATTCTCGAATATTAATGTAAGCTATGCGCAGATAGCGTTCTATGTTTCTGAATCGACCCATATACAACAACATTAGTCGATTCAAATCCCTTGTGCTGGACCTTCGTGGTAGAAGTTTACCAGCACTCCATACGAGCGTAGCCAAGCTCTGCTTGGTAGATATTTGCAAGATAGTATTCCTGATTTGAGGTAATATCAATCCGATGTCTCCCAGTGAGAAATAGGTCTAGCCTCTCGTAACAGGTCGGAGTCGATATTCGACCTAATACCGGGGTACGAGACGGTCAAATCCCCTCCTAGTTGCTTCAAACGTAAACTCTCCAGTTACTGCGAACGAGCTGACCCTCGACCACCTGGTGAAAGCCTCGAAGTTCAAGACTGGCAGCGTATAATGCGCATCACTTATAAGCTTCAATCGGGCAGAACTATAGCGAGTAGTCGATGTAAGACTTCGATCCCATAGTGACAGGTCAGAGGCAGGTCTTGTTTCGAGGAAGTAACCTGAGTAGAAACTAGCCTGAGTAGAAGCAGCGTGAGACATAGTCCTCTGTATCTTTCCCCTAGTATCTGTTTAGCAGACTGCAGGAGATTGGATCAGCTGCACTGAGACGGTATATTCTTTGATATTGGCGCTCCCAATCTCCCTAGTCATGACCATGTGAACCAAGGGACAGTCATACAATCATTGGGTGCCTGACCTTTACGCCAAAATGACCTCTCTCAGAGTATTGGAGTAATGCCCATTTTCCACCGTCTCAGAGGAACATGATTCCTGCCGCGTTTGCTCCGGTCCCCACGCCAGGAGCGGTCTTCGCAGCTCGGAAATCATGGCCCTTTCTGTTCGGCACGAACTTTATCTTGCCCTTGAGCGCGGCTGGGGTGAAAGTGGCGTCGACCACGATAGTATGTTGGTTCTCGATGAAGAGATCAAGCATGGTGTTAAGAATGTCAATGTCAGACCATTCCTTTTACTCAACGTTATAGACATTCGCGGGCTTCTCCACTTCGGCGCCTCTTGTCTTTCATCGGATTCTTATAACTAATCAAATTATTTGTCGTCGAACGCACCACCTCACCTCCGAGTACGTAAGAGCCACGGAGCATGGGGTACCAGCAGATGCCCTTCTCCTCCAGCCAGACAGTCGGACCGCGAGGTATGCGGTTGGGGCTTATATCACCCTCTCTATTGAAGTCACTAGCTCACCTTTGGCCTCATATAGTAGCAGCATACTGACATCATGTAGAATGACATAAATCCACGCGTCAGACCAATGCGCGCAGGAAGGCGGCTCATTACACTGCGAGATGCCCCGTTGATCGGCCAGCACGCTTGGACAAATGGCCACTGATATGACAGAATGGCCCCCCTGGACATGCTACCAAACTGACGCGTTCGCTCCGGTCCGGAGCGTTCAATGACTTCTAAGCAGCGAATATAGAGTTGAAAAAGATGCAAATGAAGAAGATAATGGTGTTTTACGTGATGTTCCATTTGATGGTTCGATTCATGTTAGTTACATGAGTAGAGGACGCAAAGGAGTGGAAGAAACAGAGGGGAAGCCGGTGTGTCTTTACCGAATAAGGCAAGCACGCTGCAATTTTGACATCTGATATTCTAGCCCTATTGGCATACATTGATGCTGCATGGTTGTATACTGGCTTCCCTCCGCTCAGATACTTCATGGGCTAACTAATCTCGCACATATATTAATCGATTGGGCTTGGATAACAATAGGAGCATGACTCTCTCGATCCTGTGGAGTGAGGGACATTGGGTTGCAGAAATGAAAGGTCTCACATGATGGGACTACCCAACATTAAGTGTCTATCAAAGCACCACGGTTAGCAAATTATGTGGAAACGCCTATCAGGCCGCACGTGTGTTATCTCTTAGGCACTAGAAAGGTTCGAGAAAAGAAGCTGCATGCTTGGATCCCTTGTGACCTTAGCAGTAAGATGCACTTATAGTGATATATAAAATCAAATTGCAGTACCAATTTCTTCTGTACGATTGTCAAACATGCAAGTGCACTACAAGGTCATGTGGCTGACAGGAACTTTGTATGAGCTTAGAAGTTCTAGAAGTGCTCTGTGGTGGTATCAGAACGAATCGTAGCACCGGATAACACTACATTGGGCATCGATTAATCACCCCTAATATACTATCCAGCTGCCCGACGTCTTTAGTTATGAAGTTACATTGTGTTGTATGTTGTAATTTTGCTGGTCCATATATTTGGCTATGGTAATGGCCTGGCTATTAAAGTGGCACAGATTCGCCACAATGTATGGTTGTAGTCTGTGGCTGCGGCAGCGGCAGATCGTATGGAAGATGTAGATCCCGTATATTGCTTTTCAACCATGGGTCAGGCTGCCTTTTCCTTCTAGTCGTGAGAATAGTATGTTCAATCGAAAGTTCCATGGAATTCCCAACCAATCTGCATAGGGGTGATAGATCATAACAGTCCCTATTGTTTAGGGGGAAGTGACAATAATAGACCACTACTATTTATTTAGATGCGGCGTTGCTGGAAATAGTCTACCTTTAGCCTCTAGTTTATTGAATCCACTTTTAAGGATATAAATAACATACCCACTATGCAGTAGATACTTACTCTATTGAATAGTAGATCGAATAACCTGATACACCACTAATAAACAATGTTACCCACCCCGGCAATATACCAGTCAACGTGTAAAGACACCTCAGTTTATAATCATCGTCAACGAACGGAGAACCATCCCCCGTCAACTCCTCTTTCTAGTACGATTGGTGGGGGCGAATGTTGATCGCATGCGGCACAAGCAAAACGACATTAGAACCAGAGTAGAAAAAGCAAAGGAGAAAAAAGGCCCGAGCGGAGATGCATAGACATCACGAGCCCGTCTCAGCCAGTGAGCGACTGTCCATTCCCCCCAACCGACATCCCAACCAGCCTGATATGGCCGATGAGGACATGACACCCCCGTACTATTCGATGCATGTCTGCTGCATGAGCAATAAAGCAGACAGGCAATCTAATGAACGTCGACATATCTAGCAAAAAGTATATGATGCAATGACGGGAATATTGGGAAAGCATCTAATGGGTCCAACAGATGAAGAAAGAGCCCAGTAAGAAGTAGATAACGCAGTACAGTAGAGGATCCTCGCTAGTCAATCAATTAAATGCCTCTCTAGAATCACGTTGTTGTTGCCAACCCAAAAATTGAGAGCAACCTCCGGTGCAACCTAAAATGCCCAGTTCCTACCCATGAATTCTGCACACAAGGAACAATCCACATATTCTACACTTTTGTTTTTACCAATACACATTTAGGCTTCTGCAAAAAGAAACTCTCCATGGGGGTTGGGTGAAGGGTGGGATGCACAGCCAGTCACCACGGCGTCCACCTGCGCATGTGCGGTGCCCGACAACCCACGTGCCGTCATCATGGAAGGTTATCGCGTACCACAAAAATCCATGAAGGATAATCCAGTTATAGGGTAAGAACCCTGCAATCAACCCTCCTAGACGCGGGGAGGGGGCGCACGGGCACGAGGCACCGGCCTTGATATGCTCGATGGAATCAAGTGGAAACGTTTGCTTTTCCGTCTACTACTCTTTAGAACCAAGGAAGTGGAGGTGATGGTTGTAGTATACGTCCTATTGAAATTACCTCATTGGGGGGGGGGTGGTCACCAACTTGTGGTCGGCTGGGTTTTGGGGCGGGTATCACAAGCTTCGTCACCGACTTACTCTTTGTAGCCTGGATGTGTGTAATGACGAAAGCATCTAGGATGGAGGGGGGATATGGGGAGAATCATATTAATTAGTTCGTAAAGATAAAATAATATGAGCCCAAGAATGGAGTGGCTTTCTGCAATAGTAGTATCTACAGAGTTACTATCTACTTTCTCGGTATGGAAAGTGTGAGTGATAAGCCGGTGTGTGTGTGTGTGTGTGTGCGCATGTGGAAATTTTACAAAATACGGTAAGATAACGCGAGGATTGAAATCAGGGCCGATTGCCCCCGGAAGCTCCCGGCGCTGTCTACGGCGGGCCTGAGGCTGGCAACCAATCAGCCGGGCCACGGGCTGGTACGGCGGACTGCTTGCGTCGGTAAGAAGGAGGTTCTGGGTCTGACAGGATGGATAAGGGGAACTTTATGGGAAAGATGTCGATGATAAGAGGGTCGTACTGGAGACATACCAGGCATTTCCATCCTTAAAGGAGGTCGTCATCCCACACTAATTGTCTACTTAGTTTACTGTGTATCTCACCGGAGAGAGGGGGTTCATCATCAATCGAATCAATTTAATTTAACTCCTTCTTGCCAGGGATCTTTTTTCAAGAAAGGAAACAAAATACCGTACCTTTCAAACCTGGCATCTACTGAGTTATTTTATTCTATTTTGTTTTATCTTATTTCCAATCAATAATACACACACCTACTTAATTCCCTTTTATTTTTTTGTCCCGAAAGAAGGCGCCTCCTTCCCGGCTGACAGACATTCCATTATTGCTATTCTTACTACTATTGACGGACTGCAACCACCACTCCTTGCGTTTACCCCCCTCCTTCTCCTCTCCGTCTCATTTCCTCCTTCTACTTGCCAAATCTCCTTTCTCTCCTCTCATCCTATTCCTCATCAAAGAACTTCCCAAGGCTTTCTGACCTCCCCCCCTGGTTCTTGTTGGCTCGATCATCCTGGTTCTGCTTGTCTCGACCTGTCGCGTCATCCTTCCTATCAACTCTCCTGCCCAGTAGTACGCTGAGTTAGCGCGTCGCATCGCATTTACCCTGCATACTACGCCTCAGCTTTGCGTCTGCACAGCTGTCCCGACTGTGATCTGCCTTTGCGAACAGTGCACTGTGAGTAACAAACCCTCAAAGAAAAGTTTCCAACCAAATTCCTTTGAGCTCAATTTTTGGTTTTCGTTCCTTTTGTTCCTTTTTGCCTCCGAACGCGTGAATCTTATACTTCCCAATTGTCCTTCTGAGTGTGGGACTTAGTCATCTGTTCCATTGGTTGGCCTCATGCAATGATTGGCGGATGGTCCTCTGACTCATTTGATAAGCAGATTAGCCACCCTCAGGTCCCCCAAATAAAAGAAAGTATCTAGATCCTCTTGTTGGTCTCGATCATCACCATGGCTTTCATGATTACCACCTCCAGCATTGCTATGGCCCTTGCTGGCAAGACGGCCTCTGTCGATATCCCCAAGCCGCGCTCCGGTTTCACCCCGGGCGGTCGTGACTCCGCTCGTCCGGGGCATCCTACCATGTTGCCTACTCCGCCCAACTCCATTTCCCCCACTTTGCCTCCGCAGGGCTTCAGACGCCAGGGCGCTAATCACCCTGGATTCTCCCCGCTGAGCTCCTCGCATGTGGAGTCCGATGTTGAGCTCGGAGATGCCGCCGATCATACGAACAACTCGAATGAAGCTCGTCCGTCGGCTCATGATCTAGATAGCACCGGGGCTATCACGCCGGGCATGTTGGCCAAGTGCCATCTCCCGGAAATTATGCTGCAGCATGGCCCTTTGGCTATTCGCCACCTGATGGGTTATTTGACTACTAGTGTCCCGGGATTCTCAGGCATCCCGCCTGCCAAAGCCCGCAGGCTGGTGGTCGCTGCGCTGGAAGGCCGAGGAAGCGAAGACAAGAGTGGCGGCCGTGATGGTGATGTTATCTTCGAGAAGGTCGGCTGGGGACGCTGGGATGCTCGCCGTCGTGGTGAGCCTTTGCGGGATGCGCAACACCTCAACGTGTCGCCACCCGCCAGTATCTCCAATTCTTTCCCGCAACGGGGCATGCAGATCCCTACGAAGCGGGGAAGCGTTCAGCCCTATGGCAGTAGCGTTACTGGCGACTCCGCTGTCTTCTCCTACTCGGAGATGGACTACGGTGGACATGATATCAGCATGCTGGAACATGAGGCTGACAAGATGTCACTCGACGGAAACGAGCGCGAGTACTGCTCGTCGTCTGAGGCCCCGGACGACGAGATGCAGGACGAAGACTGGGGCGAAGAAGACATCACAGACGAGGAAGATTGGGCACAGATAGGTGCTGATGCGCTTCGCGCACGATCATTGAACGCCTCGGGAGGCTTCGTGAATGGCACACATAATTCGCCACAGCTGCGCGGCGGAGGACCTGCTACGTCGTCGCTGGCGAAGTCTGCACCGCGCAGATTACCGGTTCAACAACACGGCTTTACCCTCCCGGAGGGTGTCATGGGTGACCGGGAGGAGCGTGCTGCAGTCGAGGCGCTCCTCCGACTCGGATCAATGTAATCATATATATACTTTTGGCAGGCGTTTGTCAAGAACATGAACTGTTCTTGCAACCCTGCAACGTCTCTTCTGAGACTTGAGGCTGGTCCCATTTCCTGATACATACTTTTACGTTCTACGATTACTTTTCTTGTTCAAAGAATACACCAGCAAGCTGGACGACGTTATCGATACGACTGGTTCGATCCTGACGATGCATTGGGTTTGGGTTCTGGGAATGACCCCGGCGTTTTGGCATTTCTTCAAACAACATTACATAATGACATCGACCTGTACAAGGTTGATGAACTTGTTGCCTATCAGGCGTTCTTGGGGGTGCGTTTCAACACACATACTGGTACCCCAGACCACTCTCCATTCTTGCAATTATTGGAACATATGATTGTTGCATGGCAACAATCTGCAATGGACTACTTCTATCCATTCAATCCATATTGTTTATATGGTTTTTACGACTCGGTATTGATAGCTTGGGTCTGCCGAGTGAGGCATTGGACATATTTTTTACACATAGAGATAATAAATATACGGTCTATGCTTGGTCTCGGCCACATAGTCATCACATACTCACTTGCCTTGTTTTGTAAAAATTCAACAGTACTTATCTAGGATCATACACAAATCGAAGCAAACGATGCTCTATTGTTTATTTCACTCACAACATTCAAATAAAAATAAACCATTCAAGACCAAGTTACGTAGTACATAGTTTACAAGCCCAAATACACCCACCTTTTTATCCCAATCCAAGCCCCGAGCACAACCTATACCGTTCCCTTCCCATCCCAGCAAAGAGTCACCTACTAAATCAGACACAAACAACAAATCAACAAACCAACGCCCACCCATCCCAACAGATATATCATCATACATAGTACACACCCCAAACCAACCTTACTACCCTACCCAACATCATCCCTACCTTAACCCACCCCCTCACCCAACCAACACCCCTAGTATATATATATAAAAGAAACAAATCACCGATCATGAACCTCATTAATCCTCCTCCACACCTCCGCCTCCACCTCGCCCAACTTCCGTCCCGCCCACCTCATCCACCCCCACACTCCATCCTCACCCTCCGCATCACCCAGATCCACCCTCCCCGACGACGACGCATCCGGCTCATAATGCAGTGGCAGCTGTGCCCCCGCAGAAGTCACCGTCGTAGTGGCCGTCGTGGTAGCTGTTGTGGGAGGCTGGTAGAGAGAGCCGTAAGGTGTTGTGGTCGAGTTAGGGATGGAATTGGAGGTTTGGGTTGGTGGGCGGTAGCTGCCGTAGCTGTAGCTGTAGCTGTAGCTTTGGGGGTGGGGGTGGCTGGATGGGGGTGTTGGGGTGTAGGAGGATGCTGTGGGTGCGGGTGCTGGTGTGATGGTTGGTGGAGGAGGAGGAGGGTCGGCTGGTTTGGGCGCAGGTGGTGAATGATTCTCTGAGGTGGATGTTGGAGCTGGGTGGTCAGTGGAGGATGTTGGGGGAGGGATAGGGTGGGCGCCTGGTTGGGGTGGTGGTGGGGATGTAGATGTAGATGTAGATGAAGCTGGAGGGTCTTCAGTGGCAGTTGTGATGGTGGTAGTGGCTGCTGCGGGTGTCAATGGCACTTGGGTGTCCAGGGAGTTGGTTGCTTGGGTTGGGAGGTCGCTGGGTTCTGCGGTGGCGTAGATGGGAGAGTAGGCTGGGGCGGTTGCTGTCGCGGAGGTGGTTGCGGGTTGGGTTGTGTCTTGCTCTGATTCTGGCTCTGGCTCTGGCTCTGAGTCAGGGGCGGCGGCTGGGCTGGAGGTCCGGGGAGGGACCTCGTCTGGGGTGGAGGAACTGGTCATTTTAAAGATAGGTTGAATTGGTGAATGAATGTATAAAGGGAGGAAGCTATAACTATGGGATGAAGCTGGAGCAGGGACCGACGTCATGAAGCTACGTTGCACGTGACGTTGCCAATGGGTCAGGTGACCAGAAGGGTGCAAATTTTCACAGCAGCTATGGCATCTACATGACGGACTGAAAACTGATTTGATCCAAGGCAGGACATACTGATTTTGATACCAAGGTGGAGAAAGTACAGTTGGAAGAAAAAAAGAAATAAGCTTGCGGGCAGTAAAATACAACTGGTACAAGAGGAAATATCACACGATTCTATGCTCAAGATTATTGATATCACTCTTGACGCATATTTCTATCCTCCGCAGCACCTCCGGCGTCTGGTAGTTACACCAAGACACCGGCAACCCCATTTCCCCGATATCATGACTGAAACAGCTTGAAATTAATCAAGCGCTTAGCCAGAGCCACCCTTGTACTTCTTGCCGAAGAGGATGAGCTGGACCTGGTCGTAGATAGACAGGACACCAGCACCGGCAACACCACGGAGGATGTTAGCACCGGCACCCTTGAAGAGAGACTTGACACCCTCCTTGGCGACGATCTGGCGAGCAGCATCCATGGAGGACTTGTACTTGACGGCCTCACCGGAGGTCATCATCATACGACGACGGATGGTGTCCAGGGGGTAGGAAGCGATACCGGCACCGGTGGTGACAGTCCAGCCGAGCAGGAAAGAGGCAAGGAAGTTACCCTCGAGAGGACCAACCAGGACAACGGGCTTGATGGAGTCGTACATGCCGAAGTACAGACCACGGTAGACAACGATACCAGCAACGGAGGGACCGAAACCACGGTAGAGACCGGCAATACCGTCGGAGGCGAGGGTCTTCTTGTAGACGTCAACGAGACCGTTGAACTGACGGTCACCACCGCCCTTGGCGGACTTGGCGTCGTTGGCAAGACGGGTACGGGCGTAGTCGAGGGAGTAGACGAAGAGGAGGGAAGTGGCACCAGCAGCCTGAAGCAATTGTTAGTGTGATCGCTCGAGTATCAAACTGATTATGGGGATACATACACCACCGGAGGCAAGGTTACCCATCATCCACTTGGTGTATCCATCACGCTCCTTCTTGTAGGAGAACATGGACTTGTAGGTGTCACGGAAGGCGAAGTTAAGAGCCTGGGTAGGGAAGTAACGGATAACGTTGGCAGTGTTACCACGCCACAGGGAGACAACACCCTCGGAGGCGGCGGTACGACGGAAGCAGTCCATGATACCGTTGTACTTGCGGTCGAGACGACCAGCGCGAAGCATCTCATCCTGAAGGGAAATCGTATTAGCATCTGTTTAGGTCGATTTCATGTCCGGACTGTCCGGAGTGAAAATTTTTGCGCCCGGCTGAATTTGCAATCTTCGGTCGGCGTGATGTCGTATCGAAGATGCAATTGCAGATCGTGCCAGCAATTTTCGTTCCGGCAAGCAAGACATTGATGTTGAGGCTTGACCAACCTGGTTCTGGATGAGGAGCTTGATACGCTCGATGGGGGCGGCAGCAGTCTTGGAGACGGCAGCGGAGACACCACCCACTGTACCAGCAGTTAGTATCAAATTCGGGTCATAATCAGATAATTCGTGTTGCTCGTTGGATGGAATTGATCGATCGTAGTATAAGGATCGATCATTCGGGGCGAGCTGGAATGCACATACTCAGGAAGTCGACGACGAATCCCTGTGAAAAATTTTCATTAGCCACCTAGTCCAGCAACAACACCATTGAACCAGGCCAAATTGTTCGATCATCGTGTCTCCAAAGAATGTAGTACTCGATCTTCGATATTAAAGACCAATTTCAACCGATTCCATCGAGAGCGCGACATCCGACAACCTGGCCTTTCCGTTCGTAGGGGACAAGTAGGAACTTACGGGCATGCCGAAGACGGTCTTGTCGGCCTGGTTAACATCACCCTTGGCCATTTTGACGGCTGTGATAACGAAAACTAAGGAAAGAAAGAGAGGAGATGGATGATAGTGCCAGTCAAACAGGACACTTCAAAGGGGATGGAGAGAAAAGGAAGAGAGGAAGGGAAGGGAGGGAAGAAAAAATAGCGAGCGAAGGGCTCTTGTAAGCGGGAAGAAGCGAGCGGAGACGCTAGGACGCTCTTGGGTTTTTCGCTGGCCTGAATTTGCAGTGGCAGCGGCGGCGATGGGCGCCCCGGCCCAGTTTCCATTGGCCGGATTGGTTGGCCCGGTACGGAGTAGGGAGGCCCTCCCATTGTTAGGGGGAACGAAAAAAAAACAGATGCAAAAAAAAAAAAAAACTGGACCCGGCGCTAATGCTGGCCCAGGCAACGAAGAGCCGATATCTCCCGATCGCGCCAGTAACCAACTCCGACCGCTGACATTATTGGGAAATACCCTTTGATACCTTCGTTACTATGAGTGAATTTCTGGTCAAAGAGGAAGAAAAAGCCACTTTCATCTTCATCTCAGCCTTCATTATATCGATTATACCTACTGAATGATTTCTGGAATATATCAATCTAATAGCCTCTGAAACGGCATGTAGCTCTCGATATTTCTTCCCTTGGTCCTTTTTTCATCCCTTCCGTAGTCTACCGATCGGTGTTACTCGCAATCACCGCTCGGTCCTTTGCTGATTGACCTACAGACCATAATTTACATGTTTGGGCCCTTTCTCCGTAATTCGGCTTCGTAAGATACCCATTCCTCTCCCATTTCCCCGTCTTGACCGAACCAAAGCGTTTTCTTGGAGAGTCCACACCTTCGCGCTCCATCCATGGGGAACCGCCCCTTCTTCCCATCTGGTCCCGGATATCCGATGGCAAACGCTTGCCTCTCGGCCTCCACCTTGTGTACTTTGACTTATTCGTGCACAACGGCCATTGCAGGAGCGGAATTGTTCAATTTGCGTCGGTCTCTGCAGAAATTGCTCGAAAATAATTCACAAAACTTTACTCACCTAAGTACTTACGCTACTACTTATCTATCTGCAGCATCCAAACGGAGTCCATGGTTTCTGGACCTTCCTACGCGCCACCGGGACTGATCAGGTGCGTGCGGCGTCTTTCGGCTGACATGCCGCGATTTCCCCGTTTTTCTGCTCCGGGCGGAAGTTCTCAGGTACGGAGACAGAGCGAGAGACAGAGACAGAGACAGAAGGGGGCGGCCAAGGGAGCAGCGATCGCAAACACGGACAACGTCGGTAATATGAAGTATCCCATAGGTTGGTATTCTATCATACTCTCCCCGGTTAAATATTATCAATTCTTATCATCCAAGCTTGGTTCCCTACTCGTAGTACTACATGGTTATGCTGCATTTCGTAGGCAAGGGCACAGCAGTAGCATATATGCTTGTTGCTAGAGGTTATGTTATATACCTCAGACCGTACTCCTTTTTATCCCTCATCCTAGTGTCCGAAGATCGCAGGTAGTCGTCTCATAAGTGTACTAAGGGGTTATTCATTCAACTATCACCACTCTTCAAAAACTGAACAACTATGCTATACCAGTTCATACAAAAGATATACACACGACCAGTATATCTATCCGATTCCGACGTTCTTCCACACTATTCCAGTGCCAGCATCATCTTTTCGTATGCAGCCAAAGAAGACACGAGACCTACATTACCCAAACAGGAATTGTCCCAGCCGGGGACCCACTGTTTCTGCTTGAAAGTTGACTAGTTTCATTTTTCCACCTTGGTCCTGAGTCCTCTTTCTGTCTTTCTTTTTTTTTTTTTTTCTTTTTTTTTTTTTTTTTTTTTTTTTCTTCCTCCTTTTTTTTTTGAAAATTTTTATTTTTTTTTTCCTATTCTATTTTTTTTTTGTTCGACGGGGCGGGCAAACCTGACAAACTGTT